ACAGTATAGGAATGTGTGCCATTGTGTCACACTGTATTTAATTACCCTGTAATACAGAGCAATAGAAGTCTTAAAGATGGCTTACTTTAAACTTGCTTAATTTTACCTATTCTCAAATTAGTGAGGTTTTTCCCTTTTAAGATGGAGGAGAAATCAATATGGGTCAAATTTATTTCTGAATCTTGATCTTCAGGTTAGTCTTAGGAAGCTAGGTAGTTCTTAATGACTGCTAATTATGGCAGCTATTTATTGTAAATGTTCACCATTTAAAAAGTTTCAAGGTACTATAAAAAACTTCACATCTTTTTGATAGTCAAGTACCACACTGTCTGATAACTAGAATAACTCTTACTCCCTTTCACTTTTTTCTGACTTTCTGAAAAACTGTTTAGAGACTAAAATTATCAAGTGTACTTAAATATTTTTGTTGGAGAAAGGAAAGGTTTATTTCTTGCAGAATGAAGCAGAAAATGAGTTTTGAATTTACTAGCTAGTCTGCAGATAAGTTAATTCAAAATAATTTTCTCTACTTGCACATGCTCTTAAAGCTTTATGCATAAATCTGTTTATTGAAAACATACTTGAATATACAGTGAGACTTCCTTTTGAAATAATTGTTTTAGCATCTATCAAGTAAGGATTCAGCATTTATTTAAAAAACAGTTTTTGTTTCTGTTTTTCCTGAACTTCCACAGGATTTAAATATCCTTCATTAAATATGGCAGAGGCAATACTTTGTAAGCATTTTTCATGCCTCGAGGAAGTGGGTAATTATTACCATTCTTCAGAAGAGGAAGAACACTGGTAGGAAGTAGAATGTTTTAAAGTTCAAAACATGATTCTAGTTTGGAATAGTGTATGCAGCTGTTACTCTTTTAGTACAAATGGCTTTTGTATCAAATGTGTACTTAATGTTCTCTGACTTACTGTTAAACTCCTGAAGAATATTACTGACTTGATCTTTTCTATATATGTCAACCCAATAGTTATCCCTCATGAAACCTAAGAAACTGTTACTTTAGTCATGTTGCATACTAAGGTTTGTTTAGGTTTTTGGGGGTTTTTTGCGCAAGTGTCAAAGCTAAGTCATTACCTGCAGAGACAAAATGAGCTGGATTCTTGAGTCAGTAACATATATTTCATATTAAATAATCACACACTGAAACAGGTGCTGCATTAAATGCCTTTTATTGTGGTCAGCTACTGTAATGACCTCAGATTGTACTCAGATTTCATGTTGCTGCAGTAACACTGAGTTTGCCACCAGATGCATCATGTAGCAAAGGTATTTGAATATTCTTTGCCACTGTAGGCAATCCTGCTTTAGCAGTGGAGTTGGACTAGGTGATCTCTAGAGGTCCCTTCCAACTCTGAGAATGGTTTTTAAGAACATTTCTCTACTTGTATTGTTACATATTACTTACATTTTTATTTTATAAGTTGATCTTTAGTTTGGTTCTAAAATGAATTTTTGCTTTGCAGATTGTGAACACTGATCAGTTACTGTTATTAGTCCTTAAGGTGAAATGAAGTTAAAAACATACCAGTGACTGAATGTCATGCAGACCTAGATGTAGGTAACATTTTTACGAAGTTGGAACAAAGTAAAGAAAGCAGCAGTTTTTCTTTTTAATTGCTCTTCAGCACCTTATCAAAATGAAAGTATCTGAATAGGGAAAAAGCTTCTTGTAGATGACTTGTACCTGACCAAAAAAAAAAAAAAAGCCCAGCTTGAATTGAAAACAGTTGAACTACTGCATTTCTGGATCTGTGTTAATACTTTGGATACTTTTAGGTTGGTTTTGCCTGTCTAGGACTGCAGGTACACTGCTAGTTACTGAGACAGTAATACCACAATGCTAGAACATTTCAATTCAAGCTGTAAAAGTATCCATCCCTATGGGTACATCTGAGTTCTTTGACAGCTCGTGGTATGAGGGAATTTTGTTGCTGTTTATGCAGTTTTCAATAAAAAGGAAAGATGGGTGGGTCTCATGTATTCCATTCACTTGGAAGTATTCCAGATCCACTTTTTGACAGGTCTGTTATCAGACAGCTGTCTCATCCCTCCTCACTTTATACTGAAGATGTCAGTAGTATTCAAGTGATACAGGAGTGTTTGCTGTCTTTTAACTTCTTACTTTAAACTACTTTAAGTAGCCATTTTTATCCTCTTCAGTGAACTATTTAAAATGTATAATTTGAAGTAAACTTGAAATACAGATAGAAAGACATGTTGAAAAAGTATAACTAATGTAAAGCTGGCATTGTTGCTTTCCCCCCCAAGGTTTAATGCATGTGCACAATAAGCTTGTGGACCCATTGTACAGTATGAAAGAAAACTGAGAGAAGAATTGAAGAGGAACTTCCATGTGGGTCAACAGCAACAGTTTTAGGTAGCAGATGAGTTCACTGCTATGCAATATGCTGAGAACTGTTTAAATGGGGAATCCTAGGTACTGTATTTTTTTAAAAGGTCCAATATCTATACATTCACATTCCATCTATGCTGTGTTGTGTATTTTGCTTTAACATTTGGAGCTCTGTTGTTGACTGGTACATAACTATATGGAACAGAACAAACCTGTGGGAGACTGCATGTTATGTGGGGTGGGGAAGAAGAGCACTTACTCTAGCACAGCAATGTAATGCATCTGCCTTGTGTTAGAGAAAATGGTATTTTATTTCCAGGAACTTGTTATTTTTGGTTTGATTAGTATAACTAAATTCTGCATTAGTGTCTCTAGGCAGAATGGTTTTGGCCTTTGTCAATACTATGGACTTGTAGTAGCTGTAAAATTTTTACTATGAAATGTTCTGTTTACATATATCTAATGTACACTGAGCTTTTGCACTTGGTTGCCTTAAATTTATCTTAAACAGTTTTTGGGCATCTCAAGTCCTGCTGTACAATTCAGGCAAATAAAAATACAAAACCAGTGCCTAAAATTGCACCAAATCGTTGAAAGTTACAATTTATTCCAGAAATAAATCTTAAAACTTCTGCCATAGCACTTTTTCCTCTCATATATTTCAAATTACTTTAGGTTTTTTGTATGTTTGGTAATTGAGCTTTATACATAAGGAAAAACTAAAAGATCCTTTCCAGAGGTACCTGTTTAAATTGTACCATTGATGTTACTATTAAATGCCTGAAAAGGGTTAAATTACAGGAATATTATGTCTGCAAGTTTAATACATGATCATTTAAAGTCAACTGTTAATCACTTTGCATAGTTACCTCTCATTGTATCATTACAAACATTGAGGAATGTTGTTTCCTACTTTGAATATAAGTAAAAGTTAAATATAAAGCTAGAACTTAAAAATTGTTTTGTTTCTGATGTAAGTTCTGACATGAATAGCCTAGCCTAGGAATTTTGTCCAGTGAAGGAGAAAGCTAAGAGTTAATTGATCTAGGCTTTTTTTTTTTTTTTGGGGGGGGTGGGGGGAGGTAGAGCATGCCCTTGTGTAAAATACTCACTGGGATAAAGTGGCATAACTTCAACAATTAAATTTTGCACCTAGGTAGATGATAGACAAGTAGTCTTTATTACAAACCATATTAATCAGTTGCAGTTGAGAATATTGGCCCAATAGGCCACACTGTCAAGAAATTCCCAAATTCCCCCTTTCCGAAGAGCCCAGGCCGTGCACCTGGGGGGAAGCAGCCTTTCAGAAAGGGACTATTCTGTGAAATTACAATTGTCTCAAGCACTGCAGGAGGCCATGCCTAGCATTTCAGTTCTTAATAGCAGATTGAAGAAGCACAAATTTAAAACAGGCTTGAAGTTTAATGATAGAAGACCTTTCTCCACTGTCTCCTTTCTTCAGGTCAGTAATAGCAGCATTTTATGTGCCTTTACTGGAGATACAGATGTTTGTTTTTTCAGTACAGCTGAAACAGCTTCAAATTAAAAAAAAACCAAACAAATAACAAAAACCCACCGACAAACCACTAAAATAACAATTCCCTCCTTCCTTTTTCTGTAGTCTGAAAGTAGTATTGAAAGGGACCTCTGATGATGTCCAGTTTAATTCCATCCCTCCAATGATTTTCCCAATTCATCCTTGTACTCAAGTTGAAATAAAAACTAGATTATGATTAATCAAGCTCAAATACTAGTTACAAGCCTAAACTGAAGAGCAGTCTTTCCGGGGGACCGAGTATTTTAGTAGGTATTACTAGCAATTTGTTCTCTAAAATATATTTAATTACAATAATTAAGATTGTGATGACTGGAATTAGTCACTGAAGACCTAAAAAATGCAGCATAAAAGCTTTTGGAGGTGGGCATGCTCTATATAGCGTGATCGTTAACATGTGTTTGTGATTGCTTTGTTTACTCTTCCAAAAGCAACAGTTTATAAAGCAAGCTTAACTAGATTTCAAGTGAGAACTGGCTAACAAATTTTAGTATGTGAACACTATAAGTAAAACCTCAAGTACACCAAGCTATGCTCTAAGCACACCTTCATGGCAAAGGAATTACTAAAGGCCTGAAGTGGTATCTTTGGTGGAGCAGTTATGTATCTTCTGTTTTATTATATTAAAATTTAATTTTTTTGGAGAATAGCAGAGCTAGGCTGTGTTCAGGGTAAACTGACACACAATAGGTTAACAAGAAATAGTGTGGTATATTAAAAAAGGTCACAAAATACTTTTTCCTTATGTGATTTCCCAACATCAGCACAATTTCATGACAACAGCAACTTTAGAAAGTAAAACAGGAAGTAGCTTCCTCTTTTTGTGGCAACAGTTCCATTTTTTTCTAAAAAAAACACAACAAACCAAAACCCCAGCATTGTGTATAGATACCTTTTAGTTATTTTAATAACTTTTTGCCACGTTCCTGTTCTTACACAAAGACTTGCAATACAAAAATAATTGTTCAAGTGTTAAAAGTTCATTGAAAACAATGAAATACAATGAAAACTTTCAGATTCACTAAAGTCAAATTAGGTAACTTTAATTTCATAATCTACAAGTATCTGTACATTTTAAGTATACAGTCCTTTCAATTTATGTTCCCACATACATTTCATTTACACCACTCAAAATCAACTATATTCAAGGGATAAAGTTAAAATTAGCTCTTCATGCTACTGCCTACTAAAGTTGAGAGCATGTCACTGATCTCTACTTGTCAGTTTGTCTCTTTAAAACACGTATAAAGGCATCTCTTGGTACTTCCACATTGCCAATTTTTCTCATCAACTTCTTCCCTTCTGCCTGCCTCTTTAAAAGCTTCATTCTTCTTGTAATGTCTCCACCATACTATGCATGAAAAGGAAAAATATTGTAGTAAGCTTAAATGCAACTACATTACTTTCCAGCAACACCAGATTCAAGGGCTTAAAAAAAGGCTAGTTATGTTATGACAATACATTATTCTATACTCCAAATAGTTATCCTACAAGGCCACTAGTTAAAAAGAAGGGAGCAAGTATGTTCATTTGGATAACTGAGAGTTGAATTTAATTACCTAAATATGTACACTAACGTAAACCTGGCTGACATTAGACAACCTGTAGGATATCCAAATCTTCTTGGAACAGCAGGAGGACTGGGGCATCATGACCAGCATTAGGTGCCTATGTCTGGACAAATTAACTGAACCCTCACATAACCTTGGACAAACACCATTCTGCATAAGTGCCTAGCAGAAAAATTATGTAATTTTGAGAAAGGGACACTTGTTTAATTTTTTCCAATATGTTTTCTTCAGAGAGCTACAAAAAAGATAACAAAGAACGTTTTTCCTACAGTTTGTCTAGTCTTGTTGGTAGACAACTACTGCATATTTAAGGCCTTGTCATGATGTATTACTGAAAATCTAAGGAAAAGTCAATTTAGGAAATGTGAAGTTACACATATATGCGTGTACACACATACATTTACTATAGGTCTACAGCTATTAAAAAACAGTGAAGGGACAGGAGTGAACAGATACACTGTTGAGTGCACTCGGTGTAATTTTGAAAAAGCTGTTACTCTTTCTGATCCAGTGTCTTGCTGCAACTAGAGATTTCATAAGTTTAATTTTAAAATAAAAGGTTGCAAGTATCTTAGAATATTCCACTGACACTTAGGGGCACAAGTATAATGTGCTTGCTGGGCTTCTAGGAAAAGACAGATCTATGATATTAGCAAGACTTAGGTTTACATATACCAAAAACATTTTTAAAAAATTAAAAAAACAAACCACCTACACATTTTGCCACAACATTTTTTCTGTATGCTTTCAGCCTGTAAAATAAAACAACACATATATGTTAACACATTGGAACATCTATATGTGAGGATAAATACCAAGTTGTCAAAAAGCTAAATGTTTATTTTTTATTAGTTTTATAAGATGCATTGGAATAATGACATTTTGAAATTCTGTATAGAGAAGACAAAGTTCTAAACAGAATTATTTACATTTCTCAGTTCCACAAATATCCCTTTGTGTGTGTATATACATAAAAATTACAGTTGTGTCTTTCTGACACTCTCAAAGTTTTTTTCTGATGTTTACGTAGAACCTCCTATGTTCCAGTTTGCACCCACAGCCCCAAGTCCTGTCACTGGACATCACTGAAAAAAGCCTGCCTCCATCCTCCTGACACTTGCCCTTAACTTATTTGTAAACATTGATGGGGTCACCCCTCAGTCTCCTTCTCTAAGCTAAGGAAACACAGCTCCCTCAAGCTTTTCCTCATAAGGCAGTTGTTCCACTCCCTTCATCATCTTTGTGGCTCTGCACTGGACTCTTTTCAAGCAGTTTCCTGTCCTTCTGGAACTGACGGGCCCAGAACTGGACACAATATTCCAGATGTGGCCTCACCAAGGCAGAATAGAGGGGAAGGAGAACCTCCCTTGACCTACTAACCACACCCTTTCTAATACACCCCAGGATGCCATTGGTCTTCTTGGCCACAAGGGCACATTGCTGGCTCATGGTCATCCTCCTGTCCACCAGGACCCCCAGGTCCCTTTCTCCTACACTGCTCAACAGCAGCTCAGCCCCCAACCTGTACTGGAACATGGGGTTGTTCTTCCCCAGATGCAAGGCTCTACACTTGCCTTTATTGAATTTGATCAAGTTTCTCCCTGCCCAACTCTCCAGCCTGTCCAGGTCTCGCTGAGTGGCAGTACAGCCTTCTGGTGTGCCAGCCACTCCTCCCAGTTTAGTGTCATCAGCAAACTTGCTGAGGGCACACTCTGTTCCCTCATCCAGGTTGCTGATGAAAATATTGAATAGTACCGGTCCCAGTACTGACCCCTGAGGGAGTCTACTAGTCACAGACCTCCAACTGGACTCTGTCCCATTGACCACAACTCTCTGACTTCTTCCTTGCAACCAGTTCATGATCCTACCTGATGATCAAGACCACACTTCCTCAGTTTACCTATGAGGATGCTGAGGGAGAAGGTGTCAAATGCTTTACTGAAATCAAGATAAACCACATCTACCACCCTACCATCATCTATCCACTTAGTTACTTCTTCATAGAACACTGTAAGGTTGGTCAAACATGACTTCCCCGTGGTAAAACCATGTTGACTGCTCTTAATGACCCCTCATCCTTGATATGCCTAGAGATAGTGCCAAGAACAAGTTGTTCCATAACCTTTCCGGGTATGGAGGTGAAGCTGACCAGTCTATAGTTATCCAGGTCCTCCTGCTTGTAGACTGGAGTGATATTTGCTATCCTTTAGTCCTCAGGCACCTCTCCTGTTGCCCACGACTTACCAAAGGTGATGGAGAGTGGCCTAGCCCAGGCATTTCAGGGAGGGAGCTGAGCTCACTGGTGGCACCCTTGGGAGGTGAGAGGCCTTCTCGTCTTCATTAATAGTGGAACAATGCCCCACTAGTTAAAACCCAGGCAGCAGACCTCCCTGAGTGTTGGGTCTGGCCAGCATATAGGACCCTCAGTTCCCCTCAAAAGAGAATTTCCTACAATTGCCTTCCTTTTGTTCTTAGAAGAGGCAGTCCTAATGAATGGGGCAGACTGCCTTGGTAATTCCCCAGACAGACCTTTTTCAGTAACCTCAGTTACCTGATTTTCCTGATCCAGGGCCATATACCTGTTCTGTAAGGGCACGTGAAGGGTGAGGGAAGCCGGGAGTGGGTTCACCTGTTGCCTCAAGCAGGGACTCGCTTCCAGTTTCCCTCTTCTCTCAGGTCCCCTACCTCTGCCAGGTGATAGGAAGGCAGAGGATCCTCTACTTTTCATGAAGCCTTCACCCTAAGGCCGAGTTCTTACCTTGAGGCTTTGAGGCCAAGAGGAGGCCTGTGCCATGCTTCATGCGCCCTGCCTGTGCCAAATCCCATGCACCCTGCCTGCGCAAACTGCTGCCCCACACCCTGCTTGCCTGCTCCTGGTCGCTGATGCTCCCCAGGGGCTGCTCTTCTACCTGAGGAGGGTCAGGCTGACATCTCCTTGCCTCTTCCCATGGTCAGTCAGAGCTGCCACTCCCCAGAAGCTCTCACTCTCCACTCAGGGACAGTGGCTGGGACTGACTCCCTCCCACTCTCTCCACTCTATCAGTTTGTTTTCTTTTGCCTTCTCTTCCTCGGTTTTGCCGAGGGTTTCCTTGCGGTTTAGCTGCTGCAGAAGGGGTCCAGCAGCACGATCTTGCTCTGGTGTCCTTCGCCTCAGTGGCTTCACTGACATGGCCAAAGAGGAAGTGGAACACATGGCTGTTACAAGTTACTCTACAGAGTAAACAGAATGCTGATCACAAGCAATTTAATATTAAAATACTTTTTTTTTTTCAATTAAATTTATACAAAGTTCTTAGTCATAGCCACAGCTCAAATGTATTTTTGTTTTTCAAGATGTCTAGTAGCATAAACAAGAAAAATACAACTTTCAAAAGTAAAAATCAAGGTATTGTAGTGTAATAAATAATCTATTAGGTAAGACATTAAAAGTCTGTATTTTAAGTAGCTTAAAATAAGAAAAAAACCCAACAAAAAACAGTAGAGAAACAGAAAGGCTTGGCTTACGTTTCTCTTGCAATGATTTTCTTGCCAATAGCAGCCTGGATGGCTATTTCAAACAACTGTCGAGGTATAGCATCTTTTAAACGTTCACACAGGAGTTTACCAGCAGCATGTGCCTTATCACTGAAAAAGAAAGTCACCAATGTTTTCAAGAAAGAATATTGCAATACCAAAACCATAGTAATGTACTTTTGTGATCTGCTAATAAAAATATCCAACTATATTCAACATCTGCATATATTTCAGGTTTTGAAAAGAGAAAATGACAAAAGGTCTAAAGAAACTGCTAAACAGGTACTTTCATAAGCCACTGAAAACAAACAGGTCTTTTCTCCCTAAGAACATCCATATTTAGCAAACGTTTTTAGCAACATACAGCTGAAAATGGTTTGACATGTTTTCATGTAGAAAAAAACCTGACTCCTTGCTACCTGTATGTATGAAGCAGTTTAAGCATGAAGTACTTGAGCAATGTTGATTAAGCACTGCACTTTTAGAATATACAGATGTTTATAATTAGGACAAAGAATAGTACTGAGTTTATAGTAACCTCAGTAATTATTTCTCTATAAAAGTAATTCAGCATAATAATTTTTATAGAGACAGATGTCTATTTACAGTGAGAGAGCTCTGAGAGTAATTGAAGCTGGAGCAGAATGAATGTTGTCTACAATTAAAAAAAATAATCTATAATCTAAAGCTAAAATAAAGGTTATTACAAGTTTTAGTGCACAAAACCATTCACAGGTGCAAGCTAAACTGACCCAGAAACGTATCTTAAAGGAGTAACTGACTTCTGCAATGAGTTTCATTTGCCTGTGTCAACCTTTTAAAGTTAAAGAATTCCAAGGATTTCAGCATTGCAGTTATAGAAAAAAAATATGAAAATATACATGTTTAGCAACAAGTTAATATTTTAAGGACAAAACCAAAACAAAACCCTATAAAAGTTGATCTCAGGATTACTGAGAACAGAATTATTGGGTATGTAAAATAATATTATTTTTTTTCAGTAGTAAATAAATGCCATCAACAATTCATCAAGCATCTCCAATATTGGTCTGTATTTAAGTTGCTCCAACTCCAAAAAAGTCTGGCATTTTGCATTTCCTTCTCCTCACTGCCTTACATTACCAGAAAAATACATCTAGCTCTTAAATTCCTCTATTTTTCAAATAATCTCCAGAAGTGGTAATATGGGGAAATCCTTAATAGACATTTGTCCTATAGAGAGTGATACATATATATTTTTTCATTGTATATTAATAGAAAGCCTTAAGTCTTTGGAACATAGAATCCACTCAACCTACTTGTGAATGATTGTTGCCAGTTCTTCAACTGAATTTCCATTTATAAGAATATCCATTTTGATAAGGTCTGCTGCCTGGTATCCTGCATCTTCATAATCAAAACTAAACAAAAGGAGTTTAAAAGTTAGTAATTATTTTGTAAAAGTTACATTCTGCATTCCTTGTTCTATAAATTTCAATTTTTAGACACATTTCTTAATAAAACATTCAAAGTTTTTATTAAAATAGTAACACAGTTTTGAATAGTCTCTCAGTACATCTCCCATATGCAGGACTGGACTAGAAATTAAAGTTAAGTAGAATTACTGTAAGACTAGATTTGCAGCACCATCATAAAAGAGCATTCTTCACTTGTGCCATTCCCTGTCTTCTGTAATAATTTTTTGTCCCCCCCCAACACAGGGTGTGGGGTGAGGAGTTGGTGGGAAGAGAAGAGGATACAGAGGAAGCAGTTACCTCGCATAACCAGAAGACAGAGACTTAAGAGCATCATAAAAATCCACCACAATTTCATTCAGTGGAAAGAGGTATTTTAGCATAATCCTGTGTTCATCAATGTACAACATATCCTTCTGGACTGCCCTACGATCCTAGACAAATAAAATTTGTTTCAGTTTCCCTTGAAAGACGTTTTCTACAAATAAATAGAAATGAAATTAAGATAAACAGATATCCAGTTACACATGAGAACACCTATATTCTCAAGCCCCAAAGTAACTTTCTTATTGGTAGTTTGTTAAAGCCCCAGAATAAATGAGGTGGTTGTAACTGAACTTGACAAATATTTATGTCTATCCTCTCTAAAAGCCAAATTTCTGAAATCCTTAAAAGCTTCTGCTTACTGCTGCCTTTTCAATGTGCAATTATTTGTGCATTAAATCTCACTAAAATTACATTTTCGCATACACTGGCGTATTACACAGTAGGACTTGCTCTTTCACTCCAGGAGGGTGTTCTTACATTTATTTTAGGGTTTTTTTAAAAGAGATTTTATATTTCACTGTACTGACATGCAAGTACTCTGCTCTTTTGCATTATGCATTTGAAATGTGAAAAGCTAAGAAAAATATGATGAACTGTATAAAGACAATATGCATGGCAATTAAAACATTTTTAGTTAAACGTATTCCAAATACTCTTGGAGAAGTGTGTTTGGCCATCTGAGAAGATACATGAAGCCTCAGTAAACTGCTGACAAAAGTGTTATTTCCATTAACATACCTCTAACTAACAATAGATCTTATTTCCCTGCTGCACATTTCCATTATTTCAGGAAAACAAATCTAGCCTAGTATGGGGTGCTTGACCAGGTACTTTATTGTCACTGAGCTTCATCACTAATTTTCAGATTTGTAGTTCAGAAATTATTTTACACAGTTTAAATAATTTTTAAGAAAATTATTTTTTAATAATTACTGTCAAAGATACTCTTAGGTACTACTATCTAGTATCTTACTATCTAGTGTCTTCACTTAAAGTATAATATGAACAGCTTAAAAATGCAAATAACAAAACTTAACCTATATACCAACCTGACACAAAGCAATTATTTTCCCAATATATTCTTGAGGTGTTATAATAGTACCAAGAACAGTTGGCTCTAGATACTCAGACACTGAAAGCTTATCAGGAAACTGTGCAGGGTTAATAATAGTAATCTCTGCTTTACCATATTCCTGGAAACAAACAAACAAACAAACAAAACAGATACTGTGATTTTACAAATTACTATAGTGAATAGCAAAGGAGTCAAAAATAGCTAAAAAATGAAAAAAAAAAAATTCCAATTGCTTGGAAACACTTGTGAATTATGCAACCCAAATTTATATCAAGCACAATTTAAAAAGCTGTATGCATCACATACAGAAGACCCTGATCATCACATCTTTAAATATTATTATATAGAAAGATTCTAGGAATTACTTAGGAAAATGTTTTTTTAAGAGTTTTATCCAATGAATTTTGAAAATAAGTGCTTAGAACTAAGACTACAACCACCTAAGGTTATCTGTAGAAATAAAGAAAAGCCTTTCTATCTTTCCACCTCTCTCTTGCCCGTAGAGGAATGGATCTTCCTTCTTACTCATTGTGATCCTGCAACAAATGTGTAAGGCACAGCTTCAGCTACAGATTTCCCTCCAAGTGTTCTGCAGTTTGGTGGTAGGAACATTGTTCTATAAGTAGAATTTCAGGTTCAGGCTCTCTTACATGCTGAAGTAGGCTTAGAAATTTAAGTTTTTTTATTCCTGTGCAAGTGCTTTCATTCCCTATTTCATGTAGTCAAACATCCTGGATAGGGGCTGGAGTTACCATTCTGAAGCAAGATTAAAGGAAGGTCATGCTTCTTATTCTTCACGCAACCTTCCCAGCACCAAAGCAAGTGATTATATCACTTCCACTGATAAGGCAGTGTACCTGAACAATGACCCAATTTCCAGCACTGCCTGAAAACAGGGTCGACACTATCAATCCAAAAATCACTTATGCACCAAAGGTGTCAACAACTTTATTCATAGCTGCTACATTGCCTAAGCAAGAAGCCAGAACAACTGGAGAGAAAAAGGGTCTATGCCTTACACCTTGAAAGTACAGCAACCTTTCTTATACAAGTTGTTTGGAATTTTCAGATTTACTGTACTGTTTATAGAGGAATACATTAGATAAAAATGAGACAGCCTATTTCACAGAAAATCATAAAATGGTCTCAGTTGGAAGGGACCTTAAAGATCATCTAGTTGCAACCTCCAAGCATAGGTAGGGACACCTCCCAATAGACCAGGTTGCTCAAAGTCCCATATACCTTGGCTTTGAACACCTCCAGGGAGGGGCCATCCACAACGTCCCTTGGCAACCTGTTCGTGCCTCACCACCCTCACAGTAAAGAATATCTTCCTCTCACTACAAGCCCTTGTAAAAAGTCCCTCGCCAGCTTTCCTGTAGCCCCTTCAGGTACTGGAAGGTGGCTAGAAGGTCTCCTTGGTGCCTTCTCTTCTCCAGGGACCCTCCCATCAGAAGGTGCTCCTAAGTCTACCTCTGTCTCTCAAACCCAAGCACAGTAATTTTATTTGTACTCAATTCAACTAGATTTGCACCTGCCTGTTTCAGTGCGATCAAAAACTCGTCTTCACCAGCTCCTGCTAGTCTACAGTAGCATTACAAGCTATTCCTAAAACCATTTATGTTTTCTGACTGATAAAACCTGGAAGATTATTTCACCTGCTTTAAACTCAGTACAGTCAGTACACACTTAAAAGAATATAGCAAGAAATGTGTCCTTTATTCTTTGTATGTCTTAACACCTGTCTTTGAAAATACGAGTGAAGTACCAGAGGAACAGAAAGTTAGCGTTCTTTAAAAAAGATCCATTAAAATAAAGTTTTAAGTTGAATACTGTTGTTTATAATGTTTACTATAAAGTAATAGTCTACATTAAAAAGAAAATGTTTATGTGAGACTTAAGCTGCTATTTACATAAAGCTGTAATGAATTCAGCATACCTTTATCAACTTTGCAGAAGAAAGAATAGCTTTATATGGAACTGTAGGTGCAGTCAAAATAACAGACATGTTATACTCTTGCTCCAAACGTTGATTAAAAACTTCCATATGCAAAAGACCAAGGAAACCCAACCTGGAAAAATAATATCCTGTTGGTGAACTGTATATCCCCTTGAATTTCACAGTGGTTTGTTTTGTTTTTTTCCTTCCAGTATGTTTATACTGCTAGTCTGGTAGTATCAGGCAGAGAAAACTAATCTCCAAAAGACCAAATGATTCTACAGCTGAATAATAGTCTTTGCAAACAAAACCTATCATTCACAACAAATATTCTATACAAATGCAGAACATAAGAAAACCAAAACCTTTTGATCTTTAACTATCATGTATTTGAATTAAAATTCCTAATCTTGAATTAGTTTTAATTCAACCTTCAGTGACTTAAACTTGCATTCTCAATTTATAAAAATTAAAGCAGTATAAAAGCCTCACCTCCATCCTGCTCCTAAGGCAAGGCTGCTGTCACGATGAACAGTTACACTGGAGTCATTCAAGGTCAGCCTTTCCAAAGCACTTTTGAGATTATTATATTCTGTTTGATCTATAGGATACATTCCTGTCAAAACATATTAGAATTGATATGATAGACAACTTTATCTAGTGTGTACTTAGCTTTCAAACACACTTCTTAAAGTGTACACAGTAATGAAACCAGGTTAGTATACTTTCTTCTCCAACTTTAAAATTGTAACAAGGAATATAAGGATTATTTTTTTTTCCTCTTTTCCCAAAAGTAAGTTAAAATGTAGTTACATTTTAGATTACCTCAGAAAGAGGAACTGACATTCAAAATATAATGCTAGGGGTACTGTACTATAATGCTAGGGGTACTGTACTCATCTAATCCTTCAGAGATGTGGAAGATGCACAATGAAGTATAAGTTCTGTTTTGCAGGGCTATGGTGTAAACATATAACTTAAGCATAAATGAATAAGCAGACAAATTTCACTGAGATGTTCCTTCGAAGGTAAAAGTGAACAGTGAAAAAAAGGTGTCACGTCTAAGAAAGCTGCAAATGTTTCTGTATTTTTTTTGAAACTAGTATGAACAACTGTCTCTGTAATTACGATCTGAAGCGCATTTTCCACTGTATCGCTTGTCATATCACCACATGCTCAGAAAATGTTGATTGCTCTCCAAGAAGCGACACATGTGCATACAAAACCCCTTATTTACAGGATCACACTTTCCTACATTCACTGACAGACCACCTTATCTCCGTGAGACAATTCAAGTGAGTTTTACACATCCTCCCACAGCAAGTCTAGAACGTGATTGACAGTATTTATTTTTTATAAAGCCATCTTCCATAGTATTGTAGTAGTTAATGAAGCTGGTGGAAAGAGTTCAATAGAACTTTTTAAGCTTAAAAAGTAAAATATTTTACAAAATAATTCTGAATATTTGCTTTGGCAGTTTACCACATTTAATGAAAAACAGCTAGTAATTTTTAAAAGAAAATAAATCACAATAATTATGGAAACCTGATTATCAAGATAACAAATTGCTAAAAGTGAACTTACTTCTTAGAAGTCTCATCCTTCTCTTCCAGCTATCAAGAGTTTACTGGCATTGTAAGCAATAATCATAACTAAAAATTATATGTGAGCCTTGTATTCAAATAAAACCAGTCTGCATCTACTATTAATTCTGTCTCTTAAGCAACAGGGAATACAAAACTATGTAACACACAAAAGGTATATAAATGACATGCCTCTGTAGCATAATTTCACTACAATTCTAATCCTCACAGTTCTTAATAGCACACATATTCTTTTAAAAGCTCTAATAGCTCTCTTGTCACTGGAAAGAATTCCACTTTATACCAGTTTAGTCCTCACCTGCAAAAACCATTGGCTTCACTGACTTAAAGCCAGGCAAAGGCTCCACTGGCTGTTTATACAAAAACAGCGTGTCTCCTATTTGGGCTTCTGTTACTTCTTTCATTCCAGCAATCACGTAGCCCACCTGTCCAGCATATCTAAATAAAATTGGCATTATATGGACATGCTTCTTGGCATTATCAGCATTTCCACTATTTTCCCCACTTAACTTAGCTCAGTTGGAAATTCCATTAAATTACCCTCCCAAAAGCTCACACACAGTCTGAATGCCAGATCTAAGCTGTTTCCCCTCCTAGTTTTTGTATCTAAAGGAATAAACTGTTGACCCAAGTACTTCTGTTTCTGTTACAGTTAAGCAGTACATTTATAGTTCTGGATTTTTAATTCTGTGCTACTCCCAGTTTGAAAGCTGGAGCTAGAAGGAAGTTCTCTGGACCCTAAAACAGAACCAGAACAGTTCCCATCTGCCACCACAGCAAGTTTTGTATAGTAAGTGGCAGAAACCACAAAAGCCAAATACTTTACATCAGCACATAATGCTGTTAGAAAAGGAACTCCTGACACAAAGAGGAGAATACAGTGTACTGGTTTTGGCTAGAAAGGAGTAACTTTCTTCACAGCAGACTGCAAGGTTCTGCATTTTGGATTTGAGACTAAAATGGTGTTGATAAAATATTAATATTTTAGCTGTTGCTGAATATGCTTGCACAGAATTAATGTTTCCTCTGTTTCTCACTCTGCCCCCACCATCAAATAGGCTAGAGGTGGGCAAAAGGCTGGGAGGTAACAAAGGCAGCAGAGGACCTAAAGCAACCAAAGGAATATTCCGTGCCATATAATGTCATGCTTGACAAAAAACAAGGAGTGTAGTCTTTGGCCATGACTTGTTGACCAGCAGAGTGCTGGTCTGTTTATGGAAGGTAGCAAGTGGAAGATAATTACCTTTGCATTGTGTTGCATTTGTTTTTACTTCTTTCTTTTTCCTTCACTTACTAATCTATCTTTATATTGATCCATAAGGCTTTCCTCACTTGTGCTCTCCAAATTCTCTCCCTCATCCCACTGGGCTAGGGGCACTGACTAAGTGGCCGGTTGAGTGGGTGCTAAGTTACCAGCCGGCCTGAACCCACCACACACGGTAATGTTATCTCACTGAGAATCTCCCAAGAAGGTAATTTACACATACTTGGATGCAAAATGATAGAACTTCACTAATTCTAAGTACCTGATTTTCTTCCCACTGCTGCAATCATGCGCCAGTTTCTGGAAGCTGTTGCATTCATGGATTTTAACTTTTCCACCCTCAAAATATGCTGCAGCAATAACTAAGATGAAGCCCCGTTCCCTTCCACTCTCAAACAAGGTAGTTCCTAGAAATAAATTGGACAGCTGAATAAGAACATCAAATGATACTCTTAAAACACGAGCTGTCCAGGTGTTCCATGTGCTACAGAAAATAGAATGGCTTCCTCCTCCTAGTAGTATTCAAAAAGCAATCCCCAAAAGTTTCTGCCTCAGCAAGCCCAAAATGAAAACGACTGACATTGAGCATTACACTACAGGGTGCAGGATTTTGTATCTTACACCAGTTTATGATTTGTTACACTGTAGGAAATTCTTACTTACAGCTTATGTGTTGGCTGTTCATTCGGAGTCAGAATTCCAACTTCATTCACTTCATATCTTTTCTTTGTGTGTGCAGACACAATTTTATGCCCTTTCTGAATCTCCCCACCAAAGAGTGCAATATTAGCTATGACACCTCGGTAGTGGTCAAAGGTGGAGTCAAATACTAAGGCTTTTAATGGATCAGCAGTTTTACATTGGGGTCTGCCACAAAAGTATTTAAAACAATATATTAAGCAGTGTGCTTGTCATTCAATGTTGATTTAGCACTCCCACCCCAAAAACTTTCATATTAATATAAAAATATCAAGCAATTTTAACTAAACACATACCAGGCATCATTTCAGTGTTTCACTGTGTACTATTAAGCAAATATTGACATTTTATTTCCCCCATGTGCAATAGCAGTACAAAGAATAAAGCCAAATGTATATACATCATACATATTTCACAACAGGTGAAACTGATGCTTTAAATATTTTACTACTGGGGACAATAAAAATTCAGTTAGATTCCAACAGCTCAGTTTTTTTTAAAAGTTGTCTACTTATATTTCGGTTTTGCCATCTTTCATGGAAACCTAATCTCGATTTTTTATTGTGGTTTCTTTGTAATTATTAACTAATAGAAGGGCTACCATTATTAGTTAATAGGAGGAAAAAATAATGAAAAGCATTATGCTGATTGAAACTGAACTATAATGTAGCAGCTTTATCAAGTTGTTAGATGAAAGCCCATTTTAAAGGTTGGGTTCAGGATATGAAATTCAACACAGCAGTTTTTAATTATTGTTATAATTTTAACAATGCAAAGTTAAAAAACAGTAACAGCAGACATCCTCAAACACTGAGTTTCAAGAAACTGTTGAAACTTGAAACATAAACAGTCATTAAACCATCACCTTTAGTGACTTACCTCTTATATTTCATTTCAGACTGAATTAATTTTCCACACCCACTTAAGAATAAAGAATTCTTCTCTGCTGATATTCACACATTTGTTTTGTAAAATCTATCTCAAATCTAAAGTGTCATTTTTTCTGATTAGCAATTTGAAACTGACTTAACCAGCTCCAACATTAGATTTCTCCCATGTCTTTATAAAGCATTGACTTTAAAACAGAGTAAGTGCAAAAATACTGCCAATATAATGTAAATGCAATTCATGATTCCCTAATTCACTTTACAAGGTTTCATATTAAATACAGACTTACGATGGAATCTTCTCAATGACCTTTTGAAGAACTTTTTCAACATTTGTTCCTTGTTTAGCAGAAATCTAAAACAAGTCCAACAGCAATTGTATAAGACATGTGTCTTACACTCATTCATTATTAATAAACTTCAGAGTTTTGCTGGCCATGGAAAATACTAGTCATAAAAGCACCCTGAAGCACACATTAGAATGCTATTACTATAATACGTTTATTTCATTATTAATTATTCTGTAACTTTTTTTTTTGTTTCCTGAGTGGCAATTATTGTTACAGGAATAATGAAAACAATTTATGGACTTAAAATGAGAAAGAATTTAAAATACATCTCATGTAATTCATCAAGTCATACTAGAATTTTCAACTGAGAAGTATGTTCTTGTTTTCCATGACTTTTAAGAAATTTAAGTACATCAGACACAGACAGGCAACATCTTGTTGACTTACTGCACATACATGTCTTTCATTAGCTAAAAAGTAGGTATTGAAATATAATCAGCCATGTTATAAAACTTTAAGAGAACTTACCCTTACACATTCATCTACAGGGATATCAAACAGTTTCTCAATTTGTTTTTCGACTCTTTCAGGGTCTGCATTCTTCAAGTCAATCTGAAAAACAACAAACTGTTAAGTATATAGGCAATAATGTCTGCTATATGAGCCAACACTGTAGTTTCCAAATGTACAAGTCAAGGAATCTTTGTGAGTAAATACTGGATATCTTCACGAAAAGATCAAGAGTGACTTTAGAAAAAGTCTTGTTTGCTGCAATTCAGGAAGGTTTACCTCTCTAAATAGACTACTTTTGTTTGCTTGATTAGGCAAAACACATCTGTCCAAGGGTTGGTACAAATCTTTCTCTTACAAAGTAATTTGAAAGCACAAATGCTACCTATACTGCTTGTAGGGTCAAACATTAAATGCAATCTACATCTACAAAAAGCAATGAAAGCCGAGCAATAATGAATCTTGTTATTCCAATCGTACAGCCCATAAAAACTGTATAAACCACAACATTTGGTCTTCACTAAAATCTAAGACTACACTTTTTAAATATTGAGCTGCTACTCATGTAATCTCACCTGTGTATCATACTTAACAAAAAGAAAAAAACTAAAACACATGGAAGAATATATGATCACAGTGAGAACCTCTGAAGTTAGTTCTGTAAAAAGCCACTCTAAGATTAATCTGGAAAAATATGTAAAATACAAGGAATCTAAATATTTGTTAAATGGTGCACTTAAATTAAGATGGGCTACAGATTCGTTACACATATCCCTAACTATCTAAGTCCACCCTAGCCACACACCTTCCTATTCAGACTCTCAAGTGTTCTCAGGTTAATTCATCAACTGAGAAGTGACACAGACCCATATTGCTAAGGCAAGTGTACACATTAAAAATGCAAGGCAATCTAAGTTCACACTGACAGCCTTCTAAATCACTCACACCTGTAATTTCAAATATGAAAACCACAGCTGATAAAATTTTGGTATTTCAAAAAGCAGCATTGGTACTGTCCTTAAGCCACATCACAACCAGCCTGCTTGAAGAGCACATGTAGGTTGATCTGCACCCTTCTGGCCATTCATGACCAAGTGCCCCTACCAGCTAAATCTTCTCACTGGTATTTAACATCAAGTCAATTTGAAATGCCACAGTTGTAGCTTGTTCTCTAGACAGTACTGAGTATTACCTAAGTGGTCAACTGTTTTTCATACCATAGGGCTTGTTTGCTTCAAACTTTAAAAAACCTGAATTTTCCAGCAATTACTACAAAATATTAAACAGCCAGCAAATACACAAAGTTCTGATTACATTATAGTTATTTTTCATTATGTACTTCTATTTGAGGATACATTTCTTACCTATCTTCTACACTTCTAAACAACCCAACTATTTAACAGGAAATTCTAAAACCTTTATTACCTTATTTATTACAGGAATTATTGCAAGCTGTGCTTCAAAAGCAAGATAGAAGTTTGCCACTGTCTGAGCCTGAATACCCTAGAAAATAAGCAGGAAAAAGTTTAGCATGGAATCTTCCTGAGTTTTGATAGGCTTTTATTTTTTTTAGGCATACTATGCAATATAAGATTTCTTCAGTATTCTATCCACTCCTTCACTTAGGGGATGGAAAATAAGTAAAGATTATTGATTACACACATTGTAAGAAAGAAAACATCATTCCTAATTATAATTTCTCATAATCTGAATGTAAGTAGACAAATTATTAACACTGTATGTGTGACCATTTACATTATAGATTACATGGTATTATTCATCCATTATGTGCCAATAACACTTTTTGTGTATGTCATTTATTTCTGAATAGCCAAGATCACAACAGGCACCTCAAAAACAGATTTTTGTCCACAACAAACTACTCACAAATTAACTAAGACGAAGAAAAAAGGATGTTTAGCATGGTAATAAGATTGTAGTTACTCAAGAGGGCAGGAACATTCCTTCAACTTATTCTAAATTTTTTTTTCAAAGATAAATAATTTGATTCACATGTAGCTTACAGCATCCTTTAATGTTGCCAGTATCAGCTTGTTTTACAGGTGATCAAAAACATGACAAAAATTAGTTATAAACTAACAGCGTGGTTGGCTGAACAAATCTTCAAGGCTTCCAACAAGAAACTGAAGGTATCAAATCAATATTAGTACAATGGCTAAAAGCTGTCCAGACTGCCATTTGCAAAGTTCATACTCTGCAAGTGAACAAGTAGGATCTGATTCTTCACTAATCCTATGCTTTTATTGCTATGTCATGGGAACTACAGCATCTATCAACACACAAGTATTTGTATCTAGATTATTTTTTTTTTGAAACTCCCATTACTCTTCTTCTGTAACATAATACTTCTGTGGAGCTAGAGACCAGGGACAAAAACACTGATGTAAAAAATTACAAAAAATCCCACCTGATTTCCTCTAGCTTGCTTAAAGAAAATGCTGAAACTCCCAGTAGAAAGTAAGAATTCAGAACTCTACCTCATTTGCATCCACTACAAGTATGACGCCTTGACAGGCAGACAGTGATCGTGATACTTCGTAGCTGAAATCTACATGGCCCTGTGGAGAAAATAAATGTTTACCATTTCAGGTATTTCTAGAGTTTTTGGCAGAAATTTCTATCTTAAAATGTTTTCATTTGTATAGATGTTCACAAATCTTATTTAAAAGAACAACACTTAATAAACACAAAAAGGCAGAAATCTCCTACTGTTACTTATAAAGACATTTAGCTTTCCATGATTTAAACACTGTTTATACTTAACTTACTGGTGTGTCAATAAGATTTAAGAGGTAATTTACGCCGTCATGATTGTAAAAGAGAGATGCAGATTGTGCTTTAACTGTAATTCCTCTTTCACGTTCCACTTGCAGTTTATCCAGCACTTGTTTGTTATGGTCAGTTTTAGCAATTGTTCCTTAGATTAAAAAAAAAAGAAAAGCCTTATTACCTCATTTACTGTATAAGCTCTCAAAAAAAAAGAGAAAAATTATTGAAAATGCCATTAACCAGGAAAACACGGGGCTTGCAGCTGCAAATGAAGCTTTTTGATCTTAAGATAAATTTTCATTTTCATTACAAAATAAAATTGTGCTTCCACTCTTAACATATGTTATACAAATTTTACATATGAAGTTATATAAAATACTTTACTGAATAAGCAGGATACAAAACATCATGTAAGTCTAAATCAGAAATTAAGAAGTAGCAAGAATTCCATTCAATGCTAAATAATTCTGATGTTTAAAGAAACTTCACCTCCAATCACTGAAGAAACAGCTCCCACCCCTGGAGAACAGCTCTAACCAGTGCCAATCTCAAAGGCAAAGAGAGCATTATCGTAGAACATGACAGATTCTACCACAGAAATCAGGTAAAATTGTCCATAGTGACATAGAGGAGGTAATAATAAAGAAAAACTTTAATCAAAAGCTTCTCTCCCAGGTTTTTGTTTTGCTCACTCCTTAAATGAGAAAAGCAAAACACTTCCAAAGGGTATTTCTGAGTGGTTAATTTAAGCTCTGCTCTGAAATTAGTCTCCTCTTGGGAGATACAGCAATTGCTTTACAGCTTACCTAAGATAACCCTCTAAGGCAACCTCTGTGTGTCTCTTCCAAGGAAAGACTAGTTTCAGTCACTCCTAGTTATGAAAAATCCCTTGGCATTTCTGCTTCTCACTTGAACTTTAAAGGGGGAGTAATTTCCTTGTAGTCAGCAACACAGAAATAAAAACACTTAAGTCCAAGGATCACTCTGATGAGGACAAAATAAATACCTCTTAAGATGAAAGTAACACAACCTCACCAAAACTTAGAGAAGCCAAAAGCAAGTCTAAAGAGCATCTGAGAATCCATGGAATTTACATTGAATTACTAGCAGTTATTCTACACACTAAATCTAAATCAACACAGGGCTGTATGCAGTCCCATATCAGCTTCAGTACCAGTGAGATCCTCCACCATGAAAGGCAGTTGTTTATGGCTTGCTCTCAAGAGAGCATATAATTATTTTCATCTAAGTACAAGCAGCTTGAAGTTCCTCTCTATTTCGACAACACTTTCGTAAACTACACTCTCCAGAATTCCTAGGTCATGACAGCCCCCTTCTGTCCATCCCAAACACTGGCAGTAAACATCATAAACTTGCTGTGCACTGGTCTAATGGACGACTGATCAGGAATGACGGGATTAGCATCCTGAACAAGGAAGAACACTCTTTTCTAGTCTCCTTCCAAAATACATACTTGAGTGAGTGAGTTACACACTTTCTTACTCTAACTTGTAAGCAGATCTCAACCGGAAAGCACATCATATTCCTACCTGTAACACAGCCTAAAAGTACATGACACCTGGCACTGGAAAAGACATTAGAAATGTCATTAAAAATCAAAGCTACAAAACCTTACATGTCAACTTACATGTCAGAAAAAGGTAGCATAAAATAGGAACACTTACCTGTGATTTCCAACAATCGGTCTGCCAGCGTACTTTTGCCATGATCTACGTGAGCTATAATGCTGAAGTTTCTAATGCTTTCAACAGGATACATCGACATATCTAATTTTTCCTAAAAAACAGAAATTTATTTTCATAAACCATGGTTACAGTCTCTATGTACAACACAACCTGGCCTTTAAAAGAGAATTATCTCTTTTCTTTGTAAGAGGCATAGGTTGAACAGATACACAAAAATTTGACATCAGTTTTCAGAAGGTTGTGACTTCATTTTAGTTATACATATGCATACATTTATTACTCTGAATAATCAGTAAGTATGCTGGAAAGTGTTGTGAAAGGTACTATGGTCTAATGCATATAGGGAGCTGGAAAACTTAAAGTTTGTTAAACTACTAAACATAAGGATTAAGAGAAGTGGATTCAGGGGACCATTAAGGACATCATTCTTCACAAGCATAATAAGAATACAATGACATTACTTAGCAACTCAGGACCAGTGACCTTCTCGTAAGAAACAAGCAGACTCTGTGGAAAAGAAATCTACTGAGAACACTCATTTTGGTTAAATTAACAAAAAAAAAAAACAACCAACAAAAAAAACAACCAACAGAAAAACAGCCTTTGTTGGTTCACACACAGAGCCGAAGCTAAAAAGTTTTATTTGTGTTATCCTGCTCATTCCAAGTAATAGGAGAGTGTGAAGCAAGGGGGCTTCTTTTCAGAGTTTTCAGCGTCAGGAAGCAGGAAACCAATGGAAGCAATCAGTTACACTTTATCGAAAACTCTGGTCACAGACCTTAGAGCTTCTCTCTCTTACAGAGGCTCTGCACGCAGCTCCGAGCCAGGCAGAGCAGCCACAAGCCCGGAATTCCTTGCTGGCGCCAACAGAGAGCACTAAGCAGCTCTATCTGCCCTGTCCCTCCTGGGCCTGGAACACCAAGCCTTCCTGCTGGCGAGAGGACGCAAACGCCGCTGCAGCGGGACACGGCTGCTCCAGGATGACCGGCGACCTTCCACACGCCGGAGCCCCGCCTTGGGCACTCGCTGCAGGCCGGCTCGGGGCCGACGAATCGCCTCCCGCACCCCATCCCTGCCAACTCACCTG